AGCTCTCCAACATGGGGGGGGGGGCGGTGGAAAGAGCTCTGTGGCCGCTTCCGCCTCTCATCCTTCCCGGGGCAGCCCATCCGCACCTTGAAGGCAGCCCCCCAGCCCTGCGGCGCCCAGCCCGAGGCTGGAGAAATCCTCATTTCCAGGTTGCCCCGGGGACTCAGCCAGCCGCCGGACCTGGCTGGAAACTGCCAGGGCGTCTCGGCCGCCTCCCTTCCCAGGGAGATGCTCAGGAAACCTTTGGGAAGTTGGTTTCGCATGTTTATTTGGGGGGAAATAGGCCTGGAGAGAGCCACAAGCGGGGTTTATAAAATTAGGCACAGATGTGAGGAGGAAGTGCTTGGAATGCCGCGGTCGCCCATCGGAATGGCCGGGAGAGGCGGGCAAGCGAGCGCAGCAGCTTCCTTTGCACGATGCACAGGGCAGGGACGGCGGCAGGACGGGGGCCACCGGCTCTCAAGCAGCCACTTGGGCTGGAGAGGAGGAGGAGGAAGGGGGCTGTCAGTGCTGCTTGGTTCTGAAGGCATCCTGCCCAGCCTCTCCTCCTCCCCTTTGCTTGCTCAGGGACCACTGCTGCCCCCCTAAGTGCTGACCCAGACACCTGCCACGTTCAGTGAAGGATCAGGTCGGACTCCGACCTCATGGAGAACAGGGACGTAGAACCTCTGACATGTGGAGGGTCCTGGAAGCCCTTGGGGTGGGCCCTGTGCCCCCAGACCCTCATACCAGAGGTAATACACAGCCATGATAGCCTCATCCGCATGCAAAGGGGCCGTTTCTGCTTCCAGCAGGCAAGTGAGTTAAGAGCAGTGCCAAATCCTTCAGGGAACCAGTCTTGCTGAACAGCCAGATCACTGTGCGCTCCCCAGAGCCGGTGGGCCTGCTGAGCGGCCTTTCTGTTGGCCGTAGCAAAGGCATTCCCAGATGGCGTGAATAAGGGCCACCGTCTCCAGTGCTACTGCAGCTGTTAATTAACTGAGCATCACGAGGAAGACCGCGTGAGTACCAATTACTGCAGCTGGGAATGGTAATTGGGCTTCTTCTGCGTGCCTTTGAAGCTAGACTGAATTCTTGCAGCCTGGGTCTTCCATATTTTGTGGCCCCTGGACTCCTGGTTCCCCATGCCTCCTCCACGCGGTACACCACGCATAACTTTTCCCGCCCGTGGAGGTTCATGCATCACACACCATCTAAAATAGCCGGCATCAGCAGAAAGTGTATGCTGCAGCGAATGTGCCATCCACTCTCTTAGGTCTCTCTGTGGCCAGCCACTCCCCCGGAAGTGTTCCTCTAATGGCACTTCTGGATCCTGCTCCTCTTTGGCCTGCACAGTAGCCTCCAGCTTTGCTTGGCTCCTGCTCAGCAACACGCGAGCCAAAACCATGCTGGGGACCACTTACCACCGGTAGCTGGCCAGACGCTCGTCCTATCTCCTTCTTCTTCCTGAACAAGCATCCAGTGGTCAGAGGCACTGCCGCGATGGTCCTAGGCCCACAAGCAGAGGCTGTAGCCAGAAAAATCCGCCTCATTCAGCAGTATTTTAATAATGGTCCATGTAGATTCCACGGCCTTTCCGTGGCCATGTTGTCCCCTTTCCCAGAGACGGTGCCATGCTTTCACAGGAGGCTGCCTTGTGCCATGACGTGCCCTGCCTTTGTCCATCGTGCCCAGCATGTCCAGGACTGATGGGGCGCAGCAGCCCTCCAACTCCCAGGCAGGAATCTCACTGATGGTGCTGGGAGCTGTCATTGGTTTTTCTTTGTGTTTTAGGATCACACCACTGCTGTGGACACCCCGAAGATGCCAACAACTAAGGTTGCCATGTGCAGCCTGCCACCTCGAGAACCCTGGAGAACACCAGCTCCTGGAGACTGTGCTGCTGGCCCACCCTGGCTGGCTTGCAGATACCCGGCTGGGCTGCAGTGCCTGGCCACTTGTCCTCACCAGCTGCAGACAGAACAACCCGCGTGAGCTCGTTTGAGCTCCTCCGAAGAGCCATCCGGGATTTATCATTTGGGGAATGGATTCCCGGGTGTTGTCCTGCCCTCGTGGTAGTTGCTGCAGTTTGGAAAGCAACCCAAATGGGGCCTAGAAAGCCAGGCCTCCCCTGGTGTGAGGGGGAGGCAAGACGGGCCCCTCCAGACGGGCTGGGGAGAGCCTGACTTTTCTCATCTGGTGGAGATGTGCAGGCAGTCCAGCTAACTCAGGCAGCTGAGCGGCCGCTTTCAGCACATCGCTTGGGGCTGCGGCCCCAGGAGGCATTGCTGGCTGCCGGTCCGACGGTGCCAACGTCGTGCATCACCAGGCAGCAACGACACAGCAGCGACCTTGTCACCAGCCATGACACGATGCAGACTCAGGCCCTCGGAGCAGTGGCGCCGGGAACCCTCGGAGCGCTGGCAGCAGAGTGCGGATGCTGTCCTTGCCCATGGGATGCTTCCTGCACTGTTGCTGGGATCCTGCTCCCCGTAGGCACCCCCTGGCCAGGTGCTCCAACCTGCATGCCAAGGCAGCATTTCCAGGAGCAGGCGCTAAAAGGCAGGAAGAGATGTGGGGCCTGCAGGGAAGAGACCTTATTTAAAAGAAAAAACTCTGCTTGTGCAAGTCAGACACAGCGCCATTGAGGGGATTCGACACAGCCACTTCTGCATGCAGGGCGCATCGGCTTGGGGACTGTGCGTGCCCGTATCCAAGAGACGGCCACGTCTGTCTGCCTGCTCCTATCAGCAGAAACAGGTTCTTGAAAGGTTCCCTCCCTTCGGACTCCCTGCTGTTCTGAGTAGGGCGAGGGCGCCCTCTGCTGGCCCTGCCACGCAGCTCTCCCAGCCTTGTGGAGTGGAGCGGAGCCGTGCATTTCCCTGTGCCACTTATGCGCAGGGCAACCTTCCAATGCTCTGTCATGAACACCCTGTGGCACTGCCTCCCCCCGTTCATGGCAGCTGGGAACCCGGGCTTGTATCAGCACCCAGGTCAGATAAATCCATCGGCGTCCAGCTGCTTCCTTCTGTTGGATCATAGCTTGACGTGAGCAGACAAGTCAGCCAAGCATTGTCCTGCGTACACGAATGGAGTAAGGCAAGAATGGGCAATTCAGTAGACTCTGCAAAGCACCCCCCTCGAATATATTTGGCTTTCTTGGGACTGCAGCTGGTAGGGGAGCCAAGCATCTCTTGTTCTGGGACAGGCCGAGGAAGAAGAAAAGCATGAATGCTGCGTCCATCCCTCCCTCCCAAACTTCCTCGCCGGTCTTCCAGCTGGGCCCTCCATTGCTGCCGCTCTCATGGTGTGGCATGAACACGTGTCCATGGCACATGGTTCTCCATCCCCGCCCTTCCTGCTCAGAGCTAATACACCCAGTCCAAGCAGCGGCTGAGCCCCTCTTGGCTTGGGAGATCGAGCAGGGGGTCCACAGCTCTGCTTCTTAGTGAGGGGATTTCTGCTAGGCAGCCACCTACTTCCACCTGAACTCAGCTCCACCTAACGAACCCCCACTGTTCTTGCTTGGAGCTCCATAGCCATCTTGATCCTAAAACACCCATGGGGGCAAATGCACATTACGCCACATTACGGAAAGCTCCCTCAGGGAAGAGGCAGGAGAGCGAAGTGGCTGCAGAGCGTATGTGTTGGAGAGGATAGTCTCCCTGCCCACTGCAAGAACTATGCAGCCCCTGCCCAACCCCGCCTGGCTGCATAAGAGGAGGGGCACTTTGCCAGGCACCAGTTGGCAGGATGGACAGCCTCCATTTCTTCGCTCCTCTTGGAAAGGCTAAAGCAAAAGAAACACAGCTAGGCATCTCGTGAACAGAGAGTGATGGTCAGGTCAAGGGAAGGAGCTGCTATGCCATCTATTTGCAAGGCTCGATACCTTTTGCAAGGGGAAGTAATGGGCAGCGCAGACAAGGAAAAAACAATGTGCAGGTGTGGTGCAAGGGGGAACACACCGATTTTTACAAGTGACCTTGTTTAAAAGACCAGCTTGAATGGCCATTTACAATTTGTGAATGGCAATCAGAATCAGTTACGTCTTCTGTGAGAGTACTCTATTGCAAGGCTATCGAAAACACGCTCTCCTCCTCTGCCACTTGATTCTGGAGGATTAGAATCATGGGTTACATTTGTCCTTTTATAAACAATGTATTTATTTTCTTAAGCCATATTTTAAGGTAAGGATTAAAGCTTCACGCGAGGAACTCGCACTATCACCAAGCCGGACCACTCTAGCTCAGCAGCATCTATGCTTGCCAGGGACGTACTCTACACTGCGCTTGCACACTAGCCCTTCCGACCTTTTCTTCTATGGGCCTCCATTTTGAACCTTCCAGTCCACTTCCCGGCATACCCTGGCGTGTCAGCCTCTGTTCCGCTTCCCACCAATCCGGGGAGAGAAAAACGGGGCGGGCGACGAGTCGGTCAATCGTGAACGCTTAGAAACGGGAAGGCGGGCTCAAGTGGAGGTCGAGAGCGGCGTACGTAAAGCGAGAAGGACCGCCCGGAATAACAAGATGGCGGAAGAACAAGCAAGGCGCGGCAGGTAGAGTCCTAGAGCGGCGTGTCCCGCCTCGCGGAGGGGGTGGGTTTCTGGGCTTTTCCAAAGAGTGACGTCAAGTACAGCGTCTTTCTGTCTGCCTG